AATAATAATTATTATTTTTAAAAAGCTGAAATGACCAATCTACCAAGATAAATAAACAATTCCGAGTTTCCACATTACTTTCTAAGGTTTAGGTAGCCTGCTTTCTGGATAAGATTTTTGTTGATGACAGGAGAAGCATCAAAATCGGGCGTATATACTGATTCCCCAACTGAAAGCAGATCTTGCTGAGATACCCGCATGGCTTCAATTTCGGCATCCGATTCTTCTTGGATGCTGTAATTCATAAATAAAATTAAATCACTTCACCGTCATGCTGCTTCTGGTAAACTTTTACATATGTAATTAATACAGCTGGGCATTAAAGATTATTTACAAATATGTTTTTCATAAGCACTTAAGAGCTACAAACCAGTGTAAGGATGTGCTTTTGCAAGTAATTATGAACCACAATAGCGGCATGATTTCATATATATCTTATATGATAAAAGTTTTAGGCTGCTCATAGCATCAGATCTAAAATGCAGCAATACGTTTCAGAAATCACTTTTGTGATATGTTATGTTGCTATTTTAGTGCCATTTCCTATCTCTAAAACAGTTGCAGCTCCATAGAGTGGGAGAAAAATACACAATTACTTTTAGGATCCCTTATCAGGCAGCATAAATTATAAGACAACATCTTCCAGACATATTGGACTATAAATAACACAATTATGGCCAATTATGGCATGGCCAATTATGGCGTGGCCAATTATCAGTTGGATTTCATAGCTGAACAGGCTTTTGATGGTATTTTCATATCAAGACACTTCTATCTCCGTTTCTCTCCCTCTCTCTCTTCTTGCTCATCATGTAGATAAGAGCAACGGAAGCACCACTTTTTCCCTCTTCTCCAAACTGCAAAGCAATATAAACAGGAATATGATGTTACCTCTGCACCGTATTTGTAACCGATGTTAAAAAGCCATCCAGCTTTTTTGAAAACCTCTCTGCTCCTTTCTTCAAAAAATTAATCTGAAAAGTATAAAAAGGAAGCTGAAGACTTTGACTAGCAAATGGCTCACTCCAAGGGTCTCCAAACCTTATGAAGCCAGTAGATGCACATTGTATTTTGAGAGCTTTTTCTGGATCCTCAAAGAAAATTGGGGCTTGGCCATTCATAAAACAGCATCACCATGGGCACAGTCAGTTTAAAACACTTGTAATAGTTGCCCAGCCTTGGCAGGAAACCCATTCTTAATTTGCATCTTATTTTTAGTCTTTTGAATATCTATGGAACAATGTGAAATTCAAGACTATTTTTTTAAATAAATAGGATCCTAGACACTCTGAAAAATTTAAATCAGTATTAAAATGATTAAAAAGAATAAGCCAGGTGGCACGAAGCGAAACACTGCCTATAGGCAAAATATCTCCTTAAAATTCAGCTTAAATTCAGTCTATGATCTTGCACATTAATCACTCTCCCTTCCTCTCGCTCTCTGTTATGAAATACTTGTAAGCATTCTCTCTTGTAGCATCAATATTCCTCACTTCAGTTAAAACCCATGCCTGTTGATGTATACAATTTATTTAACAAGCCTTACATTTGTTAGTTTAAGAGTAGGCTATTATTCACACTTTTTATCATTTACTCATAAAAGTGATCAGAGCTTTGGTTTACAATATTAGAGAACAGAGGTGATTTGAATATAAAGTGGCTGAAATACTAGGGATCTATTATCTTGCTCAGACATATATTTGCAAATGAGATATTCCACTGCACTGAAAAATTCACAGCTCCTTTCGTAGCTAAAAAACCTGCTGCTTAGAACTACATACCTGTGAATGTGCGTATCCCAGCATGGGCTCCATCATAGCAACTCTTTTACGATACTGTAAAGCATTCAAGGCACAGTAATATTGTAATGATGACAGATGCTGCTTCCTTCGGGCACTGGCGACCTCTTTGGCAACTTCAGCCTTTAGCTGAATAATAAAATGTTTATAAAACCCAGACAAGTATCAGCAGTCAGCTTTTTTTTTTCTTCAAAAGAAGCTGAAGAATGCAACATACAATAGATAAGATCACATCAAAGTCTATGGAAAGCACTTGGACTATATTATCTATTTCAACTTTCAGGAATCTCGTTCTGAGAACGGCACCCATCATTTGGAAGGCACTTCCAAATAATTCAAAGGCTACCATAAATGTTAAGCAAACTTTTCCATTGCATTTTTATTTGTATGAAATACCGGTAGATGTGTCGCATTTAACTTTCTGCCCGCTTGCATTTTTTTCTACATGCCCAGAATTTGCGGGTTTTAAAAATAATAATCTAAAACCTGAAACACATACCTTTCCATTGTCTTTCTTTTTGGGTAGCCTGCTGTACCTGGCCATGGAGATGTCATGTTCTGAAAGAAAAGGCAACCTTAGAGCCTCACAACTGAAGCTGCACATACACCAGTGAATTCTATTAACTCAAAGATAAAAATGTGAGGCATACCATTGCTTGCAAGACTGAAGAGATCCTTTAAAGTGCTTACTTCTAGGGAGAAAGTAAAGAAGATAAACCAACAATGTATGCATTACATATTTTTTTCAGATATGTGGATTAAATCTTGGACAGAAGTCCTTTAAATTTAATTTCCATCTGCTTTACTTAAAAATTTCTATACAATTCTCACCGAATAGGTTTCATTAATCAACCCAAGAAAACATGGGAGGGAAAGCTTCTATCCTCGTAGCATCTTTGTTTTATTACAATTTATGTTTTGAATCCAGTGTCCAGAATGTCTTTACAGCAGGGAAATTTGGCAGACTATTTAGAAACGACTAGTATGGGTAAAAGCCTGAAGGCTGTAGACAAGATCTCATTTCTTTCATTCCCCCACACCCATCAAGATTGTCCATCTTATTTTGAAGTAAACATGTAGGAAAACGAACTGGTAAGCTGTTCTGTGTTTAGTATTGCTATTATTAGATGTAATATTCCTGTCTATAACTTTTGAGATTTCTTAAATAAAAAATATTTTATTTCTTCCCTTTAATTTTCTATTCACACAGTCTCTCTGGGAAATCATAAAAAGATAAGTCCTCACTTAACTACCCTGCCTGTTGCTAAGTGACAGAATTGACATAAATGCTCCACTTAGGCTGCCTCTGCTTCAACTCACCCTCATCCACTTATCTCTCTCTCTCATCTTTGCCCTTTTGGCAACGTATCTACCCCTTGCTGCCAGCTGCTCCATCCCCCAGCCCTGTCACTCACCCCATGCACCCAACTCTGCATTACTATCACTTGGGGTCTTATTTTAAGATGAGTAACAGAATAACAGAATTGGCCTGGGGCAGCTGGGCCTTTCTTGTGAACGTTGATTAAGGCCTTGGTTTCTGCATTGGCCTTCTTTTGAAAGTCCTTGTTTAATGAACAGAAGCCCTGAACAGAACATGAGCACAGGCCTGGGGGTGGTGGCAGGGGTGAAATCCAGCAGGTTCTGGAGAACCGGTAGCGGAAATGTTGAGTATTTTGGAGAACTGGAAAATGTCACCTCTGGCTGGTCCCAAAGTGGGGTGGGAATGGAGAT